CAAGAAACCTCACCTGAAATTAAAAAATTAAAAAAGTAAATGAAGAATCCTCAGAAGACAGCTCCAATAATATAAATCAAGAAACTTCCCCCATTTACTAACACTAAACATAATTACATGAAAATCCCTAATACAGCACTAGCATCTCTTCAATTTGACATATCTTCTGCTGCTACATCTGCAATTGTATCTGCTTTCCTTCAAGATTTGATCAAATCAAATTACTTGACTCCAAAAATGGCTAGTTTAGCATGTGATCCTATAAAAATTTGGAGAGCCAGACAAGAGGTTATGGCTAAAACTAGAGTTTTGTCAGAAAAACTCATTATCGAAGCTCCTATTAAAGGCATATTTGTAGATGGAAGAAAAGATCCTAATCTAATTTTGATTGAAGATTTAATTACTAAAACGTTTTGTCGAAGAACAGAAAAGCAAGAAAACATAAGTGTTACTTCTGAACCTGATGAAAGCTATTTGACTCATTACACACCTTCAAAGGGTCCAAACAAACCAGCTAAAGAAGCTGCAATCGGTCTTTATATCTGGATGGTTCCGAGAGAAATTGATCAAACTATAGTTGTGATTGAATCAGATTCTACAAATTCAATGACTGGATCTGGTAACAACGGCGGATTATTAACAGACCTGGAGAAACTTATTGGAAGAAAATGTTTTTGGTCTATTTGCATGTTACATACTAATGAACTATCTTTAAGACACCTTATTGCAAATCTTGATGGATCTACAAACTCCAAAGATGGATTTAAAGAGCCTGCAGGCAAACTATTATCAAAAGTAAATCAATTAAAACGACTAGAAAAGTTTGAACCAATTAGACAAATTGAACCTTCGATTAAAATTCCGGATGACATTTTAAAGAATATGTCAACCGACGCTTCACTAAGCTTCAAGTTAGTTTCTTGTCTTGAATCAGGTATCTTGAATCCTTCACTTGTCAACAGAAAATGTGTCAATCTTTGCCATAGCAGGTGGCTCACAACTGGTCAGGCAATTCTTTGGCTTTACATTAGTGAACATGGTTTGAAAGGTGATACTTTAAAAAATCTAAAAGTTCTTTCTCAGTTTGTGGCTCAAGTATACTTTCATATTAAAAATCAAGGTAAAACACTCTATTGTCGATGGGCCCCATCATCTAATCAAACTTCTTTATCTATTAAGAAGTCAAACTGTCGAAGTTATGAATGCTGCTAGTAAGTCTGTTCGAAATGGGGCATTTCTTGCTCATTCTGAGTCTCTTCTTATTTCTCTTCTTGCAAGCTCATTAATTGAAAATAGAGTTTTTGCAGTCAAAATGATTATGAAAGTTAGGGGAGATTTAGAGCAAGGTAATGTAAGTGTAAGAAACCGAATAAAACCTACACTGAAATTTGATGCTATGACTCTCCTTGAACTCATTGAATGGAGTAACAAACAAATCTTGGAGCCAAATTTTACATGTAATATGACAAAAAAAGATTTACAAAAAGTAACAGATTCTCCTATGGAAGTACCTAACTATCCTCTCCACACCCAGTCTTGTGAAAAAGTTGTTAAACAAGTGACTGAAGCAGCAGCTGCTGTTTGTGGTTTTCAGAGACATGATGGTTTTACTAGAGCAAGAATAGATCACAGAGATGTTGTTCCAAATCTAAAAATCCAAAAAGATTTAATCAAATTGTTTAGTTCATGTTCAAGCTTGATTTTAAAGAAAATTTAATTTCCCATAAAAACATATTGTTGTTTTATTTAACATTTTGTGCAATTATAATATATTTGGATAAATCCGTGTGCGCCGACAGAACATTTTGATGTTTTACATATAACAGTTTCAGGAAATTTATCTGCACATTTTAAACTTTAAGTAATACTTTTTTAGAGTTCAACACCCTCACTCAAGAGGCCAAATAAACTCAAAAGCATGAGAAAATTACTTTGGTGTTTTTATTTTCAGAGTTCTTGGTGCCATTTTTTGCAAAACATTTTCATTTGACATAAGCATAAAGATAAACTTAAGTTTAGAGTCGAAAATGGCTGAAGATGTCATGTAAAACTTTAAAAAAAATTTTTGTGGGTGGAGTAAAATCTAATTCAAAACTCTAATTTTTACCTAATTTGCTTGGTTTTATAGTACTGTAAAAAGTACTTTTTTAAATCAATAATGCATATATATATATATATATATATATATATATATATATATATATATATATATATATATATATATATATATATATATATATATATATATATATATATATATATATATTACCCAAAAAAAAAAAGAAGTTTTATTTCAATGTTGCTTAAAAATACATACCACACAATAAAATCACTCCCCAATTTGTTTTTTTTTTTTTAATTTAAAACTTTTTTATAAGTATGACATACCCTAATGCGGACTTTTCATTTAGTAACGGAGTTGCAAAATCGCTTTTAATAAGAATATTTGGTAGCGCATTGAGGTCGCTACCAAAAAAAAATTAAAAGCATCTATTTAAATTTAGAAATACTATTTGAAACTATTTGAACTACCTACTTTTACTTTTTAGTGAAAATGATTGGAAAGGTAAATGAACCTTTCATAATATCAAAAAAAATTTTGTGGAATCAAAAGAACCTCCCCGGTGGGAAATGAGCAAGCGACTTGTGAGCGACTAGCTAGCTTTATAGCGATATTCAAGCAATCTTTTTTCTTATTTTATATTTACCATATATACCGGGTCAAATGTGTACAATTTGATTTAAAAACTTTGAAGAAGCGACATGTGCGCTTTATATAAAATATCTTCTACTAGCTCGATACATTAACAATTATATGCTTACATATGCGGTAATCTAGACTTTTTTTTATCATCTTATTGAAGTAATCTTTATCTAACGTTGAACACGAAATTTTAAAAATACAATTCTATGTTTTAACAATTTTGGCAGTCCTAGGTCTGCCAAAATTCTTAAAACATACCTTGGTTCTTAAAAATGGAACATCGGCGAGGAGAAAGATATATTTTCACACCTCGGTGTAGATAAGGCGATTTATAAAAATATTCGAATACTTTTATTTGGAATTAGCATAATTTTTTCAGCATATTATGTCCAAACAAGATCTTTAAATGCTATAATTTTTTTTGCCCAAGGTTTTTATAATATTTAAAGAAACTTTTCTTTTTTTTATATAATTTTTAAAACCTTTTTACTACCCGTAATAGTGTATCTAAAGAACACTAGTTTGGAGTCTTTAGATCGATTCCGCTCACCAGCATTAATATGAATTTAGTTAAAATCTTTTGAAAAAGTTTCTTAATTTACCACTGATCCTAGTTCTAATCGGTTCTGACGTATATTAACTATTTATTGTTGTCAAAACACAGTATTTCTATCAATTTTCACTTTAAAATACTGGAATTCCGACCAAGAAAGAGCTTATAATTATGGAAAATTGCCAATAAACGATCAGAACAGATCATTTTGTTAAACTATAATGTTCAATTCACCTAAAAAACATGTTAATATAAAAGCTTATTTAAATTTGGACGAGCGATTGTGATTTTAAGATAATTTTTTTTTAAAAAAAAGAATCATCGGTCTAGATTTTTTCGCTACAAACATTTATATTTTATGATACCGCAAAATTTATCATTTTAAGTTTTTTCGTCTTTTCATAATTCACAGACCACACCATTTAACGGAAAAATGTCGCCAGTCAACAAAATATTATACAGACGCTCTATTATTTTAAAAGTGCCTTAACTACACCGAGTTAAAGTTTATGCAGTCGTGGCGCAGTCAGTGGCGATTCTACGAATAAAATGGAGGGGAGGGGGGAATATTTCGTTAAAAAATACCGGACTGGATTTTATAAAAAAAAAAAAAAAAATAGGTTCTCAAGGCTAAAATTTACTCGACTGAATTGTGACCCGATTAGCTGACTAAATTCGTAAACCCACCCACTATGATTGGCATGAAAACTTTTCGGAGAACCTGATATTATTTTCATTTCAATTTACTTGTTTACGTCACGTTTATTATTTACGTCACATTCAAATGTGTTATTTTTTTCATATTCTATACATTTTTATTTTTCTTCTTAATAGATTTTTCTTTCATCTTCTTAATTATCCAAGTATTATTAAAATTTAAAAGTGGTTATTATAAAATTTTAAAAAATGTTATTCTTTCAATATATTTTTACTTCCGTTGGAAATAAGCCGATAATAAATAATAAACAACATTGTTTTTGATTTAACTGATTATTATATTAACTTCCGATAATATTTAATTCTTATATATTACTAGAAATAAACATAACGATATACTAAATAGAATTTTTTTATGAACAATCTGTTCTTAAAATCATATAATTCAAGTGTTAACAAAACAAGATAATTTGAAAAAATTATCACATTTGTTAAATCATTAACATTAACTTAATGTTAATGAAATGTAAGTAATATTTATACACACGTAATGTGATTTTTCCGATTTGAATACATATTTAGAATATGTTTTATAAAAATGAAGCATTCATGTAGTAACAAGTAAATCATTAAAATATTTGAAATTTATAACAACATTAGTTGTTATAAATATATGAAAGTACCTTAAAATGTTTACGCAATAAAATAAAAATATCCTCACTCCTTTTTTTTTCAAATTGCAAGAAATCGAATAACTTATAAAAATTTATTTATATTTGTTTTAATTATTAGTAATATACATAAATTAATATTATTAATATACTTTGTTTTTTTTATTTATTTAACAAAAAAGAAAAAAAAATTAAGATTATTGTTAACAGTTTGACGATGATTATGACAGCATACGACGTAAATCATTTATTTTTCTTATTGATGATAATATATATTATTAATCAATATTCTTTCTTTATTTATTTATTGACATTTATTTATATTTTACATTTTTTAGCACTTTTTCAGTTATGTTTTAATTTTATTATTGGTTCTAGTAAAAAAGAACATCTAATAATGTTGTTAAAAAAAATTACTACTAACATTTTTTATTATATGATTTATATAGTTTTCAATGTGTATTAAACTGAATATAAGATATGCCTGCTACAAGCTTGCAATATGGGAATGTTGACTATGCGCTTAAAGAAGAAGCACGTTTTAGTTCTTTTTACAAAAAGTTGCTGTCTGCTCAAGAACTTTTAGAAAATATTGCAAATATTTCATTAAGAACTCAATTTCGTGATATTATAGCTGGTATTGAAGGTATTTTTTTATAGCAGTTTTGTTATCTATGATATAAGTTTAAGTAAGATTATAGAAATTTTTACTCATTTGCATTGAAAAATCCATTTTTTCTCTAACTATACAAAATATTTTAAAACAAATTAAACATTCATATTATTTTATTATATTATATATGTGTTTTTCCTGAACATATATTTTTCTTAATAAGTATTTTTGTTATTATTAAACTATTTGTTTTAAATAAAAAACAATTAAAAATACTTATAAATAATTTTTTAAACTATGATATTTTTAAACTTTATACACAGATAATTATTCCAAAAATTGATATAAAAAATAAAATAAATTAATTTGAAGAAGCAGCAGATAATTTATGAAACAGCAATTAGGTTACTATGTAAGAGCTTTACATAGTAGCCTAAGAGCTTAGTAACAGTTGTTTTTAATGTTGTTTATATTTTAAAGATTTTGAAACAGGTAAAACAAGTAACTTTTTTTTCAAATTTGGTTTAGTTGTTGCATGTTACAAATTTTTAGCTAAAAATGGATGTTTGACAAGTTACCACAATCTTAATATTGATCTGGTTTCGCAAAATGACCTGGTTTTCATAATATTTTAAAAAACTCTTATAGTGGTTGCTTGCAGCCTTGTTGGAATATTATATCAACCAGTTTTGGTGCCCAATATCTCAAAATATTTTTTGCTGTTAGTATTTTCAGCTGCTTAAAATCTTACTAGGCACAAAAAATATAACATTCTCCCCCCACACACGCCCATCACGCTCTCCTTGAATATATCTATAGATAAAATTAACAGTATTAGTGTAAAAAGTTATATTGCAGAAGGGTTATAAAAAGCTTTGAATTACTTCTATATAAAAACATTTTCTTTTCTTTTTTTTAATGAGATTTAAGTAGGAATGAAAGATTCTCTTTTTTTTCTTAGGAAATACATTCATACTAAGTAATTTAACTTATTAAGATGTGTTCTATTGGCTTAATGGCATTAGAGGCATGCAAAGACCAACAAGATATTGTTGAAACTTTAGGCAATGAAGAAAAAATAATTAATAATTATGCTGTAATATTAAACTATCAAACTTAATGTTGAATGAAAGACATAATACTTACATTTACAAATGTATCCTATATGGCAGAGAAGCTTTTTGTGATTCATTTAATAACCATACAAAGAAAATCACAAGTATATTTTGTTTTATATGCCTTTTTCAATTTGTATTTTCCAAAACATAAAACAAAGTTTTAAACAATTATGCAGATAAGCCTCATACAATTCAATTTCTTTTAGAAAATCTTGGCGTAGTTATGATAAAAGAGTCACAAGTCATAATGAGAAATAGTTTGTATATGCTTCTGGAAAGAAACTTTGAAAACCTTGTAAACAAATGATTGCCAGAAAAGAAGATCTTAAAAAAGAAAAACAAAGTCAGGGTGAGCAAAATAAGGATTTTCTAACATAATTATTCAAAGCAAAAAGACAAGAGATTAATGAAGAACTCAAAAATTTTAACATATATCCCCTAAAATCTTGTTCAAAATCATCAAAACATATACTGTCAGAAGGAAAGCAAAAGTTGCATGTATCAATGAAGTAGTAAAGAATTTTTCTAGAAAAAGTGAAAGTCCAGTCACCATATATTTGTATGAGATTTTTTGAGAATAGGAAGCTGATTTTGAGATAAACTACAAGCAATGGCAAACTGCTGATTGTGTAACACTATTGAGTTTAGCAGCAGATGTTTCAACATTTGTTGAACTATTAGTATCTTTTTTTGAAAAGCTACAAGCTCATTCTTTTATTGTCCACTCTCAATCACTGTACCTTAACCAACTATAACAAAATATGGATCAATCAAACATAATCATTATTGGCAACTTTGCTGAAAACTATGCTTTTTTAGTCCATTATGAAGTATTGAGCTATCACTGGAACACCTAACAATGTTCTTGACATATTTCTGATTGTTTTATATCAAAAGACATTACACTTGATTTAACTTATGTGTACAAAATATTCCAACTAATCATACCAATATTAAAAACAAAATTTCCCAATCTGCTCAAATTATATATATTCACTGATGGTTGCGCAGGAAAACTAGAGAGCTAGTTTGCCCTTAAAGATGAACGGAACTTTTTTGCCACATTCTATAGAAAGTCACCGTGCAATGGACTCTGTGGTTTCTCCAAATGGGTCCATCAACCTACTTTAACTGGTCTGTAAAAGCCAGTGCCTCATGACTACTGTTTTATTCCCAACATCAACATTAAGAGAACTATCTGTTTCTCAAGCTTGCTCTAGTTTCAGTAGAATCTATGTGTTTGAAAATACTGAAATAGAAGAAGTACAATAAAATAATTTTTATCTTCTTATCATCTGTTGTTCAACGCATTTAGAAGCCATTTTGTTTTTAATGTTTTTAATGTTATTATTACTTATCAACAATCTCAACGTTTTTTAAAAAAAATTGTTCACTATATATAGTATTTAAAAATACAACTTGTGACTCTTGTCAACAATTAATGGTCGTTATACAAAACGTTATGATAATAAAAATATGTGTGACTTTTGTCAATAATTAGCAAAGCTAATTATTGATGCACATTAAAATCACAACATCTCCCCCAGCTCAACAAGAACTCATACATAATCATGATACTTCCGGTTAGGAAGTACTCTTCTCCCATAGCAAGTGAACCAAACAGGCTGTAACTCTGTCTCAAAATTTGTTGGATAGTTTTGATCAGCGCGGTGCATACTATTGTCATCTTCGCCGTCATCCAGGCGAAGGTTACAATACAATACAAAATAACTTACAATACAATACAAAACTTTATAATAATAAAAATAGACATCTTTAAAAATCTTTTATATTTAAGTAACTTTTTAAATTACAATGAATTTATTTTTATTTTATTTACAAATTTTTTTTTAGGAATTTCTTGAAAATCTTGTCAACCACTAAACATTTTTGGTTGAAATTTTGCATGCAACATTTTTTATAAATATGAATCATGTGTCAAAATATAAAACAAAAAATAGACACATGGTTCAATGGACTGGGTGATTTGTTGTGTTACCCCTGTAACACAACAAATCACCAAGTCAACTGAAAAAAAAATGTAATAGTGCTCTCCTTGGTAAAAATGTTGTTCACCCAAATTTATATGTAAGCACATAATTATGATTTAAGTTCATGGATATCAATTGAGATAAAGGTGCATTGATAGAGTGCTCTCTTGTTTTATTGCTTGTCTTGTTTTTCCATGCAACTACCTTGTTTTTTAAGGTTTGTATTTTAAAGTTGCAAGACTACAACAATTTATAAAAAATAATTTTTGTATTCATTTTAACACTAATACTTTATTCTTTCAACTTTTTATGTCCTGTTTTATAAAATTTCTTTACAAGAGTTTTGCCAGAAAATAATGACCCATAATAGCTATTATGAACTCAAAGCTCTTTCTTACTAAGATATTTACTAGGCTGTTGTAATCTAGCTTTTGAAATTAGTTGTACACACCTCAAAGTATAGGTCGGCATTCGTTAATGTCAATCTAACTACTGACCTAAAAGTGTCTAATTTTTTGCTGACCTCTTTTTCATGTTATTATGGTGAAATCTTTGTATTTAAAATTTTGTGCGGACCTGATGCTGGCGAAAATAGTTAAATAATAAAAGTTCAGCAATTAATTGCCAACCTTTAAATATTTTTATTATTCTGAGGGATGGTTTTTTGTTCACAAACATTTTTTGCTCTCTTAACCCCCTGTATTGTCATAACTGTAGGACTGTAGCAACCCCTCTAGGTCTTAAGAATATAATGATATAAAAAAAGAGAATTGTTTTCGAAAAATTTTCGAAAAATAATAAAATTAAAGAAAAGAATAAAAAAATCTTTTATTGGTGTAATAGGTCTCTCCCATAAATAAATATAAACACTTTATTTGTTAATGTACATATATTATATATAATTTTAATAAATTATAGAATTAATTAATTCCATACAAAATAAAAACTGTGCTGTATTTTGTTTATTTTATAATTCAACCATTAATAGCATGAATAATAAAACTAGTTTTCCTTATACAATAATCTTTTTTATATTAAAAATCGAAACATCCTGTTTGGAATTTATTCTTATATTTTGAATTTTATTTATGGAATTTAAATACAAATAACTTGTTTCTTTAGATGACTTTACACAAGATTCTGACTTCACAATTCCAAAATCTTCTTTATATAACACTATGAGACTTGTATGTTTTGTTATCTTTTTTTGTATTCTTTCTTTTATTTATAACAATATATTTTTGAATGAAAAACTTGGACAGTGCTAACCTAAATTTGTGTAAGTATGTTTTTAAAAAATAAGAATAAATTTTCGATATTTTGTAGTTTACTACAATGTACATTTTTTTGCAAATTTTAGTTATATTTTTAGGACTAATATATAAAAATACTAGATGCATACCTATAGATAAATGCTCAGTGATTTTTAATTGCTTATTTTGCCAAAATACAAAATATTTTTTTTTATATTAGAGTCTTTTCAAAGTATTCTTTTTCTATTTGTGGTCTGAGGCAAGAATTAAAAAATGTTAAAGATGTAAAATATGTAAAAAAATCTTTAAAAATGAAAAAAAAGAAAAAATTTTTAAAAATCTTTTTAATGTTGTGAATCATTTGCTATGACCAACAGGCATCATATGTTAAATATTATCAAGGTAAATTACCAGACATAGTTTGTGCACAATCCACGCTAATCTTCTTTTCAGTTTTCTTTCCATCTATTGTATAGCACTACCATCCCACTCATTATTTTCATTTGTCTCCTATAACTTTTATTGCAACCTTTGTTGTCCATTTTAGATTTTTTTAGTTAAATGCGTATAGAATTGTGCACCACCTATGTCTACATTCAACATTGTTTAATTGTAGAGAGCAATTAATTTGGCTGTATAACTAAATTGCTACTTATGTTATACAGTTCAATAATGCTTATCTTAGTAACAGTAGAAAGTTTTTTTTACTATCTTGGTAAGTTAAACATAGAATATTATTTAAGATATTCCTTATTTAAGTTTGTTTTTATATATTTTCTGTCAAATCTTTTCTGTCTCTGGCTGTGCATGTGACTTATTTAATATTTTTTAAGCCGAAATGAGTTCTAAATAAACTTTATATTAAAATAAATTTAGCATAAAAAGTTTCCATACAGATAATTTTTAAATACTGTTATGTCAATCTGTTGTAATATAATATTATTTTAAAGGGTATTGTTGGTGGTGCTCAGTCACGAAAGTCATTCTTAATTCAGAGTTTCTTGTCTAATAAATATTCAAAAGAAGAATGTTATGCAAAGCGTTTTAAAAAGACAATATTTTTAAATGATATATCTTATCTTTTATTACTCAGAGATGAAACAGGCCCCCCTGATCAAAAGGTAATTTTTTTAACAGGCCCTCCTGATCAAAAGGTAATTTATTTTAAATGCTTTTATCTTAATCACACTATTTAAATCATTTTTTAACTTGAAACTTCTGATGTTAAGAGGCACTGTATTTATGCTAAATGCTGCATCTTTTTTAATATTCAAACTGCACCACAAAGTGTTATATCAAATAAACATAAGTAAAATTAGGAAATAATAATAATATAACAAATCTTTACATCAAAAAAATACTTTGTATACAGTTCCTTTATAATCGAAAAAAATAAAATGCTTTTGCTTATGTTTTTTTAGCTGTATTACAAAAACTTCACTGTTTTTTTTTTAGTTTTCAGAATGGTGTGATGGAGTTGTTCTTGTCTTTAGTTACAATGATGAATTAAGTTTCAATGTTCTCTCAGGGTATTATGCTAAAATGATACAGCAAAGATCTGATAAACATTTGCCGTGTTTGTTGGTTGCTATTCAACCTGGTTTGTTTTTATATTATTATGTTTATGTATTTAAATATGTGTGTATATAAATATGTGTCTATATATATATATATATATATATATATATATATATATATATATATATATATATATATATATATATATATATATATATATATATATATGTATATATATATATATATATATATATATATATATATATATATATATATATATATATATATATATATATATATATATATATACAGGGCTGGAAATAATGAACTTTTTTCTACCGGACAATTTGTCCAGTAAAGACTCAAGTTTGCCGGACATGTCCAATAAAAGTTAAAGAAGTGAGATCAAATGCCATTTCTGAACAGGCTTAAAATTTTTGTTTTTACAACCATGCAATTTGTTTTGACAATTTTAGGCGTTTCAAAATGCGCTGAAAATAAAAAAAAAATTTGTAAGATAAATCATCTATCAAAAAAAAAAATCTTAAAGAAAAAGAAAAATCTAAGCTTAAAAAATAAAATTTGGAAAGGAAAATATATTTATATTACGTTTTTTAAAAATTACTATATTATGCAAAATGCTTTGTAAATTATTAAATACATAAATTGTTATGTAAATATATTAAATACACAAATTATGTAATTAAATACATAATTAAATATGTAATAAAAATGTATAATAAAAATATAAAATTATTAAATACATCAATTACTATGTAAATATATTAAATACATAAATTATTAAGTTTACTTTTTACTTTATTAAATAAAGTGACAAATTTACTATAATGTTTACAATAAACACATTTTATTTAAATTATCAAAGAATAATATATGAATAATATAATAATATATAAATAATATATAAGAATAATAATTACACGTAATTCCATTTATATAGATATGTATTTTTTATAAATCTTTTTAAACTTTTTCTGGGATTAATTTTAGAAACTTTTTTAAAAACAAACATTATTAACGCAAAAAACAAATGTGTCATTAACACTCAAATTTAATAGTGTAATGAAAAGTACTGGTTTCTATAAGCATTAAAACAACTATTACATTAAAATTTTTATGAAATAAATCTAAAAAGGGTTTTAAAAACTAAAATATTTGTTTGAAATTTATAAAAACCATCAGATAAAAAAAAATAATAAATACTAAACTATAAATTTAAATTAATAACTAATTGGAACGTTTTAATATGAATGATAAAAACCAGGCTATATAATTCAAAAAAATTTCATGCTTTGACGTCTTTTAAAAAATGAATTCAACAAAATGATTTTGTTAACATAGCCGTTTATTCAACTTCAATTTTGTTTTGTATTAAAAAAAAAAAAGTTCAAAAAATAAAGTTTATATGCGATACTGAATTTAATAATAATTTTGGAACAACTAAAATGATAACAAAATAAATGAACATAAAATATATGTCGGATATAATGACAGATAGATGTTGTTTTTTACTGCACAAGTGCCGGACAATGTCCGATGTCCCACACTTATTTCAAGCCCTATATATATATATATATATATATATATATATATATATATATATATATATATATATATATATATATATATATATATATATATATATATATATATATATATATATATATATATGAGAGAGAGAGAGAGAGAGAGAGAGAGAGAGAGAGAGAGAGAGAGAGAGAGAGAGAGGGTGGCGCATGAAACTCCATAAAGTCAATAAAAAAAAAACCATTATAGATTTTGTGTTTCCTTTTGATATATGTATCAAAAAATATAAAAAAATTTTATGGGTGCTCCTATGGTTGTTTCCAGCAGTATGAAATTACAAAAAATTTCAATTGTTGTACATATGATCACTAGCAAATGTTTCAAAAATACTATAAAAGTATTTTTGTAGCCTGATCTGATTTTAAATTATGTTTTAATTTTTTTTTGCAAAAAATGATAGGAATGGTCAGTCCTACCCATTTGAATACCTGCTATGTATATTTGAGGGGTAGGGGGTGTGTGATTAAATTTGAAAATCTGTAATTTTAAAATTTTATATTTCAGTGTTAATAAAAATAATGTCAGCAAGCAATAGTTGCAAAAAAATATCTCTTTGTGAAGTTTTTCTTGTGGAAAAAGAATTAGAGCAATGCCACAATCACACAATTACGAAAATTGTGTTGCAATATTATCATTACAGAAATTTTATGCTAAGAGTTGTTTTTCCAAAAATATCTTCAGTTAATATAGCTTTATGTCCACTCAGTGATTTTTTTTACTGCTTAAAGTGCTAAAACAGGTGGTTGTCTCCGAAAATTCTCCTAAAAAAAAGAGCTCCTACCTCTGCCACAACACCTTCTTTAGATCTTAAAACTTTTAATGAAATAAATCAATATTCTGATTTCTGTCTTCAACTAGCAGAAGCTGTTCTGAAGTCACTATGAAATATTTGGTCAAACACAACTGGTATTTAAATGAAAGATTTGGGATAATGTGTCTTGCAGATAAATGTTTACCTGTAAATCGGTAAATAAACTCTTGAAATATCTCTAATAGCTAAACCTGCCAATTTTAAGATAGAAAAACTGAGTTCTGAAATTTTTATTGACAATTAAAATAAAATAACAAATGAAGATTTTATTGGTCCTGAAAGCTTGTTTTTCTTTGACTTATTAAAAATGACATTATATGAGACAGAATGGCCAATAATCCATTAAAAAAACTGGGACTTATTTCCTGGTTATATTAGGTTTAAAAGTTTTGCCACTGGTCTTCTCATTATAAATAAAAGTGCAGAACGAGCTATTAAACTTGGTCAAGACTTGATTGAATCTTTTAGAATCAAATGACATAACCAAGCTAATTTACTGGTTGTTGCTGATCATCGTCAAAAATTTTAGACAACATAAAAAATCATGGCCGAATTGTAAAAAATGTTTTTAATTTGAAATACAGTAAACTCCTGGTTATTCAAACCTCCACAGGAAACAAGATTTTATTTCAATTAACTAAAAGTTTTAATTACTGTAAACCTTCTTTAAAGTGACCTTTTCCAAGTTACTTTAAAATTTTAACAGAAGTCAAGCCTTCCATGAAGCGCACGCCTTGTTCGTCCACGCCTAAAGTAATTTTTTTAAACAACTTGACTGCGTTTTTATATAGTAAGCGTTTTAAGAATTTATGGCAAATTAAAACTATAAGAAAATTGAGAAAATAAAACAGCACTCGAAGAAAGGAAACAAAGACTATACAAAATAGAAAATCCAAGTGAAATAAACTAAAAAAAATTTAAAAACTTAAAAAAAATGTTGTGAAAAAAGTAATATACCTAAATATTTTATGTTTTTGTTTTTTCTTATTTTTAGGGCATTTTTTTTTTTTCACTAGCAAAATTAATACAAGTTGAAGAAAAAAGCATATAAGAAAATAATGAAAAAAAAAAAACATTTTTTGATATACAAATTTTTCATGACTTTTTGCACTCAGTATATTAGGGAAAAAAATTTCTATTTGCACTAGAAACATTGGCGATTTTTAAATTTGCTTTTTAAATGTTTTTGCTAAACTTTACTGTTTTTATCAATGCACAAGATTTTTTTTTAAAAGTTTTTCATGTAAAAAAATAAAAAGTCATTATACTTATAATTAAATAAAATATTTGGTTGTTTTCATTACTCCCATTGAAATAGTCTACACTTTTGTTGGATTATCCAAATTGTGCATTTATACTCTATAGTTTATTTCCTAATAAACTATTGTTATTAATGATGCTCCAAAAGCTTGTGGGTAAATTTACAATGCAAAAAATTTTTAGGAGCCTATTTACAACTTTTTTTACGTTTTTATATAGATTTTTTCAAACAGAGCAATCATTATGTTCATATTTTCTAGTAATTCGTATTAATGTTGGAAATTGTGCAATATAAAAGAAACAATTTCAGACATACATCTAATGCAGTAAATACATTTATAAAATGTATTTACTGCATTAAATGTTGTTGTTGTTGTGTTTCTGTTTAATTTATTCCGTAATTACAAAATTTATTAATCAAATAATATATTTTACAAATAAACAGCAATTTATTTTCTTATTTTTCTATTATATAAGATAAGTATTGAGAAAAAAATGTCAAATATAGCAAAAACAAATAGACGTCAAAACAAATAAATGTAAGAAAAAAAAATTAACAAAATTTCTCATAGTTCAATTTCACTTAGCAAATTAGTTTCTTAATTATGCGGAATGATAATAAATATATATAATAATAATAAATTGCGTATCATATCGATTGTTTTTAAATTTTTTATAAAAGATAATATGTTGTTTTTTTTTTCATTAACTTGTATCAATATTGGCAGCTAAAAACAACAACTACTCTAAAAAAAAAAAAGAATACAAAAGTTGTAAAAAAGTTTTATTTTTTAATTATTAAATTTTCTAGTTTATTTAATTAAAACTTGATATTTTGTTACAATTTTGTTTCCTTTTTTTTCTCAGTAGATAAATTTAGCTCTTTGCCGCGAATTATTGAAACACTTTATAAGTTAAAAGATGCAAACTGCTGTGGTCAGTGTGTCTAAAAAAATTATTTTAAACGTGGACGAACAAGGCGTGCAGCTACACACGCTTCCTGGGTAGGCTTGGAAATAGAGAGTAAAAAAAAAAAAGAAAAAACTTTAGAATAAGATGCTGTTTAAGTCTTTATCTTCTAAAAAAAAAAATTTTTATATTTGTTTGAAAAATCATCCATTTTTAATTGCTTTTTTGCTTCTAAAGAATGTTTATTAAACATGTTTGATACTAGGCTTAGCAATTATCAGATTTTTTTATTTACCTCAGCACAATCTATGAATAAAATATAATCTAGATTTTCTTGATCTGTGATGCCAGTTTCTTTGCTTGTACAAATATCAAAATCTATATTTACGTAACCTTGAACAACAAAATCTTTGTCTACTAAACCACATGATCTAAGCTCATTGATGTTCTCTTTAAGCAATTCGAAAGGATCATCTTCACCATTTATACTTGCA